TTTGCGCCAAATATCCATCAGCTTTTTCTGCCAGCAGGGCTGGGCCAGCCCCCTGCACGTCATCCCCTTACAGTTCTGTGCTCTGTGACAGCCTGTCTGCTTGTGCCCTTAAAGGTACTTGCCCTCTCACACAACATTCAGAGGCCCGTCCAGGTCTGAAATGTCACAGGCCCTTCTGGCACCAACTCCACCTAGGGACTCATTCATACCCACTTCTGTGCAAACCTTATCTATCTTTCCTATCAGCCCTATGCTTCCCTCCTGCCAGCTTTATGTTGACCCTGTCTAGATGAGCAGCAGAGGCCCGCACACCCCACTGGAGTGGGCCCCACAACAGCAGAGTAAACAGCTGATGGCTGGGAATCAGGAACAACTGTGGGCTCACTGTATTGTATTTGATCCTTAAAGCTCATTGTTTCATCAGCCCATTTCTCAGAAGGAATTCCAGAGGCCTGGACATCTTGTCCAAGGTCACCCAGCTAAGGAACCCAGGTCTCCTGTATCCAAAGGCATGGTTCTTTCTACCTTGCTACTCTTGAGATCAACTTTTTTAATTTTTTGTTCACTCCCAGGAGGCTAGGACAATTACTAGGGTTCTTAGTAAGAGGGGTGGATGTGTTTTAACACTCCCCTGAGGAGCCTTGGCATACCCAGTGGAGTAGTTTGTAATATCTACTTTGCAGGTGAGTTGGAGCCATTTTGTGGGGCCTGCCCACCCTACTCATGGGGCTGCAGGTGCTTGAGCACCCCAGAAGCCCATTTACCTGAGCACGGCTCCTTCACAGTCAGGTACTGACATGTAAGTTCCTGAGCTTCCTCTGCCTTGTTGTTGTGTGCCATCGAGTCGGTTCTGACTCATAGCAACCCTGTATAAGGTTTCCAAGGAGCAGCTGGTGAGCTTGAACTGCCGACGTTGTGGTTCAAACGACCTTGCAGTCCAGCACATTAACCCACAGTGCCACACCAGGACTACTCCCTTGCCTAGAGAGGCACAAATGCCCAGTACAAATACCCTCTGGTATTTGTACCCACGGAACGTTCTCTCCCTCAGGAAGCAGCTAAGCTACACTCCCTGCCATCTGAGAGTTCCTCTTATGACCATGTGGGACTCATATTCACCTTTAGTCTGTTGTCACAATTCTCAACTTGACCTTGAGAACGTGTGTGAACATTCACAAACGGATATGATTTTAGTTTCTTAGAAGGCACTTGCTCTCTGCATTTGAACAATTATTGCCACTTCCTCAGGGAAACACACAACCCACCACTCATCTGTCAGTGTATCATACTGTGGTGGCTTGTATGTTGCTGTGATTCTGGAAGCTATGCCATGGGTATTTTAAATATCAGAAGGGTCAACCATAGTGGACAGGTTTCAGATGAGCTTCCAGACAAAGATAGACTAGGAAGAAGGAGAGACAAACTACTTCTGAATACTTAGTCACTGAAAACCTTATAAATAGCAGTGAAACACTGTCAGAACCAGATTACTGAATACTGAAACATGATGAAGTGTACCAGAACATTGTCAGATATAGTGCCAGAAGATGAGCCTCTCAGGTTGGAAGGCACTCAAATGTAAGTGGGGAAGAGCTGCCTCCTCAAACTAGAGTTGACCATGATGATGCAAATGGAGTAAAGCCCTCAGGACCTTCATTTGCTGATGGGGTACAACTCAAAATGAAGAGAAACAGCTATAAACATCCACTAATAATCAGAACATGGAATGTACAAACTATGAATCTACAAAAATTGGAAATTGTCAAAAATGAAATGGAACATATAATAAACATCAATATCCTAGGCATTAGTGAGCTGAAATGGACTGATATTGGCCATTTTGAATCTGACAATCACATAGTTTACTATGTCAGGAATGACAAATTGAAGAGAAATGGTATTTCATTCATCATCAAAAAGAACATATCAAGAGTAGTCATAAGGTACAACACTGTCTGTGATAGAATAATATCTATCCACCTACAAGGAAGATCAATTAATACCACTATTATTCAAATTTATGCACCAACCACTAAAGCCAGTGATGATGAAATTGAAGAATTCTACCAACTTCTTCAGTCTGAAATTGATCAAACATGCAACCAAGATGTATTGCTCATTACTGGAGATTGGAATGCAAAGGTTGGAAACAAAGAGGAAGGATCAGTAGTTGGAAAATACAGCTTTTGTGATAGGAACGATGTTGGAGATCACATGATAGAATTTTAGAAGACCAATGAATTCTTCATTGAAAATACCTTTTTTAAACAGCATGAAAGACAACTATACACATGGACCTCACTAGATGGAATACACAGAAATCAAATTCACTACATCTATGGAAAGATATGGTGGAAAAGCTCCATATCATCAGCCAAAACAAGGCCAGGGGCAAACTGGAACACCATCAACTGCTCATATGCAAATTTAGACTGAAGCTGAAGAAAATGAAAACAAGTCCATGAGAGCCAAAATATCACCTTGAAATCAAGCCACCAGAATTTAGGTATCATCTGAAGAACAGATTTGATGCATTAGACACTAAAGACCAAAGACCAGAAGAGTTTTGAGATGAAAACAATAACATCATACAGGAAGAAAGCAAAATGTCATTGAGAAAACGAGAGAGAAGGAAAAGACCAAAATGGATGTCAGAAGAGACACTGAAACTTGCTCTCCCACACAGAGATGCTAAAGCAAATGGAAGAAGTGAAGAGATACAAGAGCTAAACAGAAAATTTCAAAGGTCAGCTAGAGAAGACAAAGTCAAATATTATAACAAAATGTGCAAAGACCCGGAGTTAGAAAACCAAAAATGAATAACACACTCAGCATTTATCAAGCTGAGGGTACTGAAGAAAAAATTCAAACCTCGACTTGCGGTATTGAAGGATTCTATGAACAAAATACTGAATGGTGAAGAAAGCATCAAAAGAAGATAGATGGAATACACAGAGTCACTGTATCAAAAAGAAATGGTCAATGTTCAATCATTTTAAGAGGTAGCATATGATCAAGAGCCAATGATCCTGAAGGGAGAAGTCCAAGATACATTGAAGTCATTGGCAAGAACAAGGCACTGGGAATTGATGGAATACAAATTGAAATCTTTCAACAAAGTAAAGCAGCACTAGAGGCACTCAGTCATCTATGTGAAGAAATTTGGAAGACCTAGCCAACTAGGAGGAAGAGATCCATATTTGTGCCCATTCCAAAGAGAGGTGACCCAATGGAATGAGGAAATCATCGGACATTATCACTGATATCCCATGTGAGTAAAGTTTTATTAAAGGTAATACAGAAACGGCTGCAACCATACATTGACAGAGAACTTCCAAAGGTTCAAGTCAGTTTCACAAGAGGACATGGATTGACATCCATTGCTGATGTCAGATGGATCTTGGCTGAAAGCAGAGAGTACCAGAAAGATGTTTACTTGTGCTTTATTGACTATGCAAAGTCTTTAGATTGTGTGGATCATGACAAGCTATGGACAACATTGCTAAGTATAAGTATTCCAGAACACTTAATTGTGCTCATGAGGAATCTGTACATAGACCAAGAGGCAGTTGTTTGAACAGATCAAGAGAACATGGAATGATTTAAATGAGGAAAGGTATATGCCAGGGTTGTATTCTGTCACCATACTTATTCAATCTGTATGCTGAACAAATAATCTGAGAAGCTGAATTATATGAAGAAGAATGCGGCACGAGGATTGGAGGAAGGCTCATTAACAACCTGTGACATGCAAATGATACAACCTTGCTTGCTGAAAGCGAAAAGGACTTAAAATACTTATTGATGAAGGTCAAAGAACACAGCTTTGGGTACAGGTTGCACCTCAATGTACAGAAGACAAAAGTCCTTACCACTGGACCAAGAAATAACATCTATATAAATGGAGAAAAGATTGAAGTTGTCAATGACTTCATTTTGCTTGGATCAACCATCAACATGCATGGAAGCAGCAGTCAGGAAATCAAAAAATGTAATGCATTTGGCAAATCTGCTGCACAAGACCTCTTTAAAGTATTGAAGAACAAAAATGTCAGTTTGAGGACTAAGGTGTGCCTGACCTAAGTAAGCCAGGGTATTTTCAATAACCTCATATGAATACAAAAGCTGAACAGTGAATAAGGAAGACCATAGAATAATTGATGGGTTTGAGTTATGGTGTTGGAGGAGAATATTGAAAGCATCATGAACTGCCAAAAGAACAAACAGATCTGTGTTGGAAGAAGTGCAGCCAAAGTGCTCCTTGGAAGCCAGAATAGCCAGACTTCATTTTACATACTACAGACATATTGTCAGGAGGGACCAGTCACTAGAGAAGGATATCATGTTTGGTAAAGCGGAGGTTCGAACAAAAAGAGGAAGACCCCCAACGAGATGGATTGGCACAGTGGCAGCATCAATGGGCTCAAACGTAGCAACAATTGTGAGTTTGGCCCAGGACCAGGCAGTGTTTCATTCTGCTGTGCATAGGGTCGCTATGAGTCAATATGGACTCAATGGCACCTAACAACAACAAGAGGGAAACATTCTTTTGCCAGGACTGGCTGGCTTACTGTGTCCCCTACTCAACTATGAGCTCAAGAGGGTCAGGGCTGGACATTGGGTCTCTCATCACAATCATCCAGCACCCAGCCGGCTCAGTCAGTAGCAGTCGGTGTATCGATGGCAGGGTGAGTGACTGTCAGACAGATGCTCCAAGGGGCCCTTGTTGTTTGGATTAAAGGAGGCTAGCGCCACTGTTGCCACTGGTTGTGGTCTCTGACCTCTGACCTTGTTCCTTCTCACTACCAAGGTCTGGCTGTGTCACATGGGTGAGCAGTGGATAGGTTCCAGGGAGTCGGACCCAAATGTGGACAAATACCAGGCCCACACTGCTATGGAGAGCCCACTCAGAAGGCCTGTGTTTATGGTAATCTTCTGCAGTCTGGGACACTTTCAGCATTTGGGGAACCCCACTACCACCTCCCACTCCTACTCCACAGTTATGTCTCAGCTGCTTCCAAGGACTGAGACTGCTTCTTTTTGGGTAAGTCTTCAAGTGCCAGGTTCAGCACGTGCACGATCTCATAGTACAATTCTTGAAGCCTAGAAGGTGGAGAGGAGGAGGCAGGGCCTAATAAGCACAAGCAGGCTCCATTGGTCTGCCCCACCCTGGCCCCACCCACTATATGTTTGCGTGTGCGTGGTCACAGCTCCTGTAGTAAGTGTGGTCAAAGACCTCAGCGATAAAGTCCAGAGTCTGCCCCTCTCCCTGTGGCCCCCTAGAGTAATCACTCCATCTCCTGGCTTCTGCAGAGATAAAGCCAGGGACTCGAGTGTGGTGACTATGTGGAGGTGTCCAGACAACACCTGGCCCATTCTTGGGCCATAAGTGGGGTTCCTTGACCTTCTTCTTTTTTGGTTTCTCCAGTCTAAGAAGCCCTTTAAGGGGTTTTTGTTGAGAATCCAGGCTTATCATACAGCCCTTCTTGTAGGAGAGCCCACTGTGACTTCCTAGGGTCCACCACCTCTCCACACAGGCTTTCTTTTTTTCACTGAATCAGCCCAGAAGGCTTTCACATGATGATGGGAGGGTAGGAGACTTGTCCAGAGTCATATAGAAAGGTGGTGGCAGAACTGGGCCAGGTACTTGGGCTTCTGACTTGCCATTGAGTGCTCTTTCCTGTGTTCCTTAAAAATAGATTTGTGAGGCACTGGACATGTAAAGCCAGGATAGAGCACTTAGACATGGACCAGAGTGGTCTGAGGACAGGAAGAGCAAGTTCTCACTAGCCACAGTCTACACACAGAGCCAGCTGGCTGAGACAGTAGTCTGGGATGTACGCCAATGTAAAAATAGAAGCCTGTACCCCTAAGAAGGGCCTCAGCCTATCCCATGCACCCTGCCCTCCAACCATCTCCCCTCTCGCTCTCCCAAGGCATCCACCATAACCTCAACCTCAAGGAAACCCCGGGAACCAGGAAAGATCACTAGTGTCTTTGGTTCAGTGGTGTCAGGGATGCGACTGACTTGTAGATAGTACTATCTTGGTTGTCCAGAGTGGACAAGTAGATGTCAATGAAGGGAATGCTAGTTCCAAAATCATCCAAGACCATGGGGTCTGTGTGTTGCAGGGTCTTCTTGAAGTTATCCACTAGCTCACTGAAGCTGTTGTAGTCAACGTTTTGCTGTAGAGGGGAGCATAAAACAAAAGCAATGAGGAGGTGACATTCAGTTGCATGAAGACCTGGACCTTTACCATGGGCCCTACGATGAGTCCTAAACCTAGATACAGATTCATCTCTGCCCCCGCTGAACCTGGACTCCTCCCTGGTTGAGATCAAATGTGAACACCATCACTGGCAGGTAGGTCAGAAAGAAGAAATGAAAGCATGAGTTTGGCCGAGCATGGCCTCAGCCCACCCTGGACAAAGCTTGGGCACAGGCAAGAGAAGCAAGACTGTCAGGTAAGCAGTTATCTTAGACTCAGAGCGTAGGCTGGTGAGGGATGGACCAGCCACAGGAAGAGAAAGGGGATACGTGGTCAAGACCCAGCAGGGTGTCCATTTCTTGGCATGGCAGTTCAGAACATTAACCCTAAAATAAGAAGACATCCCACAGTGCCTTATGGATGTGTCAGGTTTCCGACCATGTCTCGCCTTTTGTGCACATCCTCGGTCTGGTTTTAGAAACAACATGAGGAAACCAAGGGTGAGTAACTTAACCTCTTGAAGCTTCAGTGTCCTCATAAACCCACTGGACTAGTCCCACATCTGGCTGGCACAATCATGCCCTCAGTGACCAGCCTGCTACAGCACATATTGTTAGATCCCATAGACCTGTCAGTGAACTCTTGCCCATGACAGAGGGGAAAGTTATAATTACAGAGGTCCAGAGAGAAATTTAAAGGCAGAGCATGAAGTTTGACTTTGGGATACACAGGGTTAGGCACTTCCTTTACCTAAGGCGACACATACTTAAGGCCATCTGCATGGGACCCAAGACCTCTCTTCCTAGCCTTTCTTCAGCCCTGTCTTCTGTCCAGATGTCTGTTAGCATCCTGGAAGAAAGTACCTACCTGGGTCTGCATCAGACGGTTGACCTCCTCCTTCTGCCGCCTCAGAATCACCTGCCTCTCCTCCATGAGGAGCATGTGCCTCTCTAGCTTCAGCTCCCGCTCAAATTTTCTGATGGAGTCCTAGAGATTCAGAGAGTGGAAGTTAGGGCAGGTTCTCACTGAGTGCCCATCGCCAGTCCTTCTTCTTCCCTAGGCTTGCATCACTGCCTAAGTCCCTTCACAGGAAGACTCCCACCCCAAAAGTAAGGTCAGCCCTAACCCAGGTGCCAACTACAGCTGCAGTGGTTTCTCAAGCCCTACTGTCCTGCTGGCCATCATCATTGCACAGGGACAAAGGATTGGTTCAGGGAGCAAAGTTAGACTGGGAGAATGGATCATCTGACCACCTCCTTTCTACCTTGACCTCCCCTCCACTTCCAGATCAAGGGCCTCACTGGGCACATGGCCCACAGTCTCGTCTGCCACCCCTCACCTGATCCCCAATCCTTCCAAGCACAGCCTCACCTCAGTGTGTATGATCATTACACCCACAAACATGCTGAGGAAGACGAAGGAGGCAAGCAGGATAAAGACAATGGTAAATGTCCGGCTCATCACGAAATTCCGATTATCTAACTCCTCCTGCAGGTCTGTCCAGCCATCCACCTGCTCAGGCCAGGACAAGGCATGCTGAGTGTTAAGATTCAGTGCAACAGGACTCATTCTACCTACTTCAGAAAGCCCTGGACCAAGGAGTGCTTCCTACCCAGCCTCACTGAGGATGATGGTTCTCCTTGATATCTTCTCAGCCCACTGGCCTCTCAGTAACCCTAGGAGACCAGCTCCTAACTTCCCAGGGCTCAGCTGAGCATTAGAACATGGGGAAGGCTCCACCTGTGGCTCAGCATATCCACATGTCCACACCACCTGGACAGTCCCTTGTCAAGGTCACTTCCCACCCCACCACTGTTCCCCAAACACAGTACCGTGGCCAAGCTGAAGAGGGTAAAGAAGGCCACACCCAGGTTCCCCCAGTTATTCAGGTCCCCCGACTCTGTAGTTCCAAACAGGCAGAAGCCTAAGACAGCGAAGATGTACATCAGGAGGAAGAGGAGGATGAGCACCGAGGCCACTGTATAAGCTGTGTGCCCCACAGCTATGATGAGCGTCTGCAAGGCAGGAAGACTGGGGCTAGGCAAGGGCACCAGGCTGGGTGGTGAGTACCTAGAGGATGAGGTCGTGTTTACCTTTGTCCTCTACCTTCAGAGTGCAGCACCCTGCCTGCCACATGAGATGTTCTCAGTAAGTGTTAGCTGAGTGAGTGATTGATGGAGTCAAAAGTGTGCTTAGGTTGAGGACTGGATGAATCAAAACAGTAGCCTGGCACCCATCTGTCACCAATGGGCATCTGATATGTGCTATCTCAGGTCTGTGTTGGCCTTCCCCTCAGGATCACTAGCCACTGCACATGAACCCCACCCAGCCTGACTCTGGTCAGCCCAGGGAGTCTTGCCTCTTCTAGGCTGAGGGCCATTGCAGAACATTCTATGCCCCAGGCCCAGGAGGAGTAGGGGAGCCACTTTGGGAGAGTAAGAATAGAAAGGGCAGAGAGGACGATAGCTCCCCATTCTTTCTGGACTCCATTGTGTGGCCTCAGTCTTCCTTCCATGAAATGGGAGCTTCTCTTCTCTCCCCACTACATTGCTCACTCCTGGGGAGCACTGTCTACAGCTCCTCATCATTCATCCCCCTTGTCTTGGGGTCTTACATTTAGTAGGCACTCAATACATGTTCACCTATCAAGATACTTTCTCAGACATAGTTTCAAGTTAACAAAAACAAACCAACATTTGCCACAGAGTTGATTCTGAGTCATGGCAACCCCATGTGTGTCAGAGTAGAACCATGCTACGTAGAGCTGTTTTGTTTTGTTTTCTCCATAGGGTTGTTGATGGCTGGTTCTTTGGAAGTAGATCATCAGGCCTTTCTTCTGAAGCACCTGTGGGTAAACTCGAACTTCCAATGTTTTGGTTAGCAGTCAAGCTTGTTAGCTGTTTACACCACCCAGGGACTCTAATTTCAAGATAGATCAATAGGTAGATAACTGCCATCAAGTTAATTCTGACTCAAGACACCTTTGAAACGTTGCCTGGTCCTGCATCATCTCACAATTGTTGGCATGTTTGAAGCTACTATGCCAATTTATTTCACTGAGTGTCTCCCTTGCACTCACTGGCCCTCTTTTTCATCAAACATGTTTGCCTCCAGTGGTGATCCTTCCTGATAACTTGTCCAAAACAAGCAAGCTGGACAATGTTCTACTGTGAGACATAAGGTTTTCATTGGCTGTTTTTCAGAAGTAGATTGCCGAGCCTTTCTTCCTAGTCTGTCTTAGTCTGGAAACTCCACTGAAACCTATCTACCACGGGTGACCCTGCTGGCATTTGAAATAACAGGAACATAGCTTCTAACATCATACCAACATACAAGCCACCACAGTAGGACAAACTACCAGATGGGTGATGGATTTCAAGGCAGATGGCTGGTGTTTTTCTTCCCATTTTAAGGAGAGGGATCAGAGGTTCAGAGAAGTGAAATGTCAGAGCCGGGACCAACTTCCAAGCCCTCTGTCTTGCACTACCATCTTCACCCACTAACACCCCTAAACACAGACCTACAAACTGACTTAGAAAACAGAAATAAGACAGTTTGAGACAATGTGGGAAGTAAGGAGACACCCCAAGAGCAGTAGAGTTGTCCTGCATATGGACTGATTTCAAGGGGTGAACTCATGGCCCTCCCCACTTGGGGGATGAAAAATCAATGGGTTGGGGTTAATTCCAGAAGAGCTAAGATGTGAAAAATTATCCCCATCTCTGCTGATGGCGACAGAATGTCTTTTCGCAAAACTACTAAGACTAAAGAAGCAAGTCTTCAGAGAAATGCTGCAATTGGACCTAGTCTGTGGACCAGATCTACACAGGGAGATGTGCTGAGTGTTAGAATCTGAGATACATGCAGAAAGGTGGGAAAGAGACTCCAATTGGTCTCCCACTTCCTAACAAGCTCACTGAGGACCAGTGCCACCTGAGATCAAAGTTGACCAGGTATGAGAATGGCAATGGAAAAGAGGAAGTCACATCTGCAAGAAGCCTACCTGGTGGTCGTGGCCACACTCTGCAAGTACAATCCAGGTAGACCCCATTAGTACCACAGTGCAGACACCTAATCCCCATGGATGCTTTCCCAAATCCCACAGACTAGGCGTTCCTTCCCTGAGGAAGCCCTGAGCTCTCAAGGCCTACAACTTGGCCCCCAGTTGATGCCTGATTTTGAATTTCCAAATTCTTTGGGGAAAGTAATTCCTAGCCGGAAGTTCAACTCTCTTGGGCTAGGGGGTCAAGCATCCCTGAACTCGGCCCTGGGGCCTCTGGGTGTGGATAGACCTCACTGAGCAGTCACTCATATTTGCAGAAAGTTGTCAATGCCAAAAGAGGAAGGGGAGGCTGGCATTTGAAGGCTGTTTTTAGGTAGAAACCTAGAGGAATAGGAGCAGTGTGGTCCCAGGTGCCCAGCTAACAGAACTTCTCTGTGTGCAACCTAACAAGGGCGATTTCCTCACGGCATGGGTTTATTGCCATGAGGTGGAAGGCAGAATGTTGTTTTAATTAATCAGAGGTTGGGAGCCAAGAATGTGCCAGAGAGTCGGCTCTGGGCACTGAGTCTATAGTTCTGTTAAGGGCTCATTCAGACTTTGGTTACCATAAATCAGTACAGAGGTTCAGGCCCCCACTTTGGTGCTTCCAGCTGCCACTGGCCAGTGTACAGAGGGCATTTAACCCAGAGTCACTTCTGTGCCCCTGGGGATCTGGGTCCCTTGACATCTCAAACATCCTATGGCATCCTATAGGAAAACAGCGAGGGGCTGGGATGGGGACCATTTTGATACAAGGCTTAGCTTAATGACAGAAAAATCCTACGGTTATAATAAGAGTGGTGTGTGTCTTCTTGTTCATGGGTCTCTATGCAGGTCTCCAAGGGCCAAAGACTGAGCAGAGGCCTGCAGTCACCAAGCAAGCTGGCCTGAGCTCCCAGATAATGCCCTCGCTCAGCATGTTCCCTTCCCTGCCTCTTTAAACAGGAAAGATGGGCTGCCCCTGCCAAGCCTACACCCTAGGCACCTTCAGGCCTGCACCCTCTGGCCAGGCTGTTGCACACACACAGCCAGGACAAATATACCCAGTAGGCAGCCAGTGTCCTAGGCCTCACAAGTTACAAATCTGTGCTACTGCGGACACCCACACACACACAAATACCTCCCAAGTCAGATGCCCCTCTTGTTGCTCATCCTTTCTGCTTCCTTTCTCCTGCACCCACTGGGCTTTCTTTCCTCAGACCACTGCCCACTCCGCCCTTCCTTTCACAACTCCCATCGGTCTCTGGTACCCTTATTCCATGATGACTTCTGTTAAGGATTGAATCATGTCTGCCAGAGAAATATGTTGAATTCCTAATGCCTAGTACCTGTAAAGGTGACTTTGTTTGGAAGTAGGGTCTTTGATGGAGTCCTAGTACAGTGCATAGGATAAGCACAAGACTGCAAGGTCTATTTGAACCACAAGGTGGTGGTTCAAACCCACCAGCTGCTCCTCAGAAACCCAATACAGGGTCGCTATGAGCGGGAACTAACTCGACAGCACTTAACAACAATAACAGGGTCTCTGATAATGTTATCAGGTAACATGAGATCATGTTGGTCCTAGTCCCATCCAAGTGATGTCTTAAGAAAGAGAATAACAAAGGAGAGAGCCACCGAAGGACAGACATGTGACTGCAGAAGCAGATGTAAGCCAAGGAGTAAGTGTTGGCAGCCACCGGAAGCTAGCAGAGAGGCATGGGATGGACTGTCCCTCATATCCACTGAAGGACTCCATGTGGCCAATCATCTGACTTGGAGTCACAGACTCCACACCTGTGAGACAATACATTTCTGTTCTTCAAAGTCACCCATTTTCTTACTCAAGGGAGAAAGATAAGGCTTTCTGCTTCTCCAAATTATTTAAAACCTCAGAAACCCTATACAGGGTTGCTATGGGTCAGAACCGACTCAACAGCACTTAACAACAACAACATTTTGTTACTGCAGCCCTAGGACACTCAGACAGACCACTCCCCTGGCCTCACCTGAAAATCCTCCCTTGCCTGAGGTCACCACATCCCCAGAAGCCTCCTGAAGGTTGTTGCTCATCCCCCACTGACCTCAGCTTCAGGAGGCCACCCTCTGTTGTATCCAAGGAACCCTGCTTCTGTGGACCAAGTCCCTGCTCCACAGCAGGGCCACCTTCCAGTTTTCCACACCCTTCAAATCTTGAGGACTCTGCCATGGGGTCTGCCTTCCCCATCTGAACCTGCTAGCCTGCAGCATCTCTCTGGATGACCCACCCTTCCCCAGGCCTCTTTGTCCCTTGACTTTCTAATCTCTGATCCTTTGTTCCACTGCAGGTCCGTTGGTGCCCACCACCCGGAACAAGCAGACTGCTCTTCTCACTATCTGATTTCTCCAACATTGGTGCCCATCATCTGACATGAACTTCCAAGGACCTCCGTCTTCTTTCCTGTCTATCTGCCTTACTCGCCTAGCCACCTGACAACAACTTGTTTATTCAGCACCACAGACACTGCCCTGCCTCCCTCTGGGATGAAGTACAGTATCTTTCTGTAGCCTGTGAACAAGGGGAAGCCACTGTCAGCTTGAAATGAAGGGTGTTTTATTTCCACTTTAGAAATCTGCCCTCCTGGCCCAGCTTCAGGGGCATTTCCTCTCCAGGGCTCTCAGTAGTGTGGGAAGCTGTTGTAGGAATCCAGGCAGCAGAAAAAGATGATGGTGAGGGGAGTGAAGAAAAGTAGACAAGCCCATAAATATTTAGGGAGCTTTGCAGCGGGATTCTGAGAGGTTGGACTCACAATTGACACTCAGATTTATGGCTTGGCAACTGAATGAGGCTAGCACCCTTCACCCCAAAGATGAAATATAGGAGGAAGAGTCAGGGTTGTGGACTTAGAGGTGGGGTGAGGGAAGTGTAATGAGTCCTAGTTTAGACATGTTGTGTTTGAGGAACCTGTGAGATGTTCAGAATGGTCTGAAGGTCCAAGAAAGAGGTACAGGTGGGAGAAGAACCCTAGGAAATGGTAAAGATTGACCTGAGAGAGAATATAGGGAATGAGAAGGGCACTCAGGACACAGTCCTGAGAAAACAGTATTTATTGGCCAGATGTAGAAAAATGGCAGCTGAGAGGTCATGCCCAGGAAGTAGGGAGAAAACCAAGAGAAAACACCAACAAGGAGTGTCAAGGGCAATGGTTACTGGATTTGGTGACAAAGATGTTGCTGGCAACCTGAAAGAGGGCAGTTACCCTGGAGTGGAGGGGAAGTGTGCAGAGCAGAGCAGAAATGAAAAGTGAGGGAAGTAAAGACAGAGCGTACAGATAGCTCTTCCCAGAAACCTGGACACAAAGAGATGGCGATGGCTGTTGGGGAGTCTCACTATGCAGTTTGCAAGGGGACTACACAAAACTGAGCAGGGGGCGTCTCTGATATTTTTCTTCTCTTTTCCACTTAGGTCTGGGGTCCTGTCTTAGTTTCTTTGGGCTGCTATAACAGAAATATAAGTGGATAGTTTTAAATGACAGAAATGTATTTTCTCACAAGGCAAGGGGCTAGAAAGTTCAGGGCGCTGGCTCTAAAGAGAGATCCTTCAACTTCTAGTGGTGAAGGTGGTGATGTGCTGTGGAGTTGGTTCCAATTCGTAAAGACCCTGTACAGGGTTTCCAAGGCTGCAAATCTTTATGGGAGCAGAAAGCCTCATCTTTCTCCTGCGGAACAGCTGGTAGTTTCAAACTGCTGACCCTGAAGTTATTCATAACCACTACGCTACCAGAGCTGCTTCCTTCAACTTCTAGTAGCTCGCAATCTTTGGAGTTCATGGGCTTATAGATCCATCTGTATCTATCGTCCCTGTGTCTGCTTGCTGTCTGTGTCTATGCTGTTCTTTCTACCACGCAGCAATGATTCGGTTTAGGACCCACCCTACGTTGATAGGGCTTCCTTAGCAAACAAAGAAAACTTACTCCCAAATGGGATTACAACTACGTGTATGTTGTTGTTACTGTTATTGGTTGATTGTTGTTGTTGTTGCCCAGTGGATTCCAATTTATTGCAACCCCATATATGCAAATAGAGGAGCGCCATAGGGTTGGCAAACTTGTGACCTTTTGGAAGCGGATTGCCAGGTCTGTCCTCAAGGTATCTCTGAGTGGGTTTGAATCGTCAACCTTTTAAAGAGCTACCCAGCACTTAAACCATTTGCCCCATGCAGGTTCCTTTGCAGTACCGGGGTTAGGATTGCAGCACATATTTGGGGGGATATAATTCAATCCACAACTGGCTCCTGAAGTATAGGGTGCAGACGCTAGGCATCAGGTCACCCAGGCATGGACCAGGGGCAATCTCTCATCAGGATAGGTTGAAATATCCTGACTGGACAGACAGATCCACACCAGCCCCTTCCTGGGATGCATGGATACTGGGTGTAGAGCCAGGCCAAGCACACTATGATCAGGACAACTCCCTGAGGACATGGTTAAGGGCAAGGGATCACACCTGAGGATGGTTCTGAACCCTTTTAAGTCAGTGAAGAGTGGGCATCCCATGACTTTCAACAACCCAGAAAGAGTTCTCAGTATTTGCAGAGTGACGTGAATGAAGCAAGTGAGAATATTACCATCAAAAGAAGCAACAGATTTTAGCAGTTTGGGGAAAGCAGTGCGTGGCCAAGTCATTCAAAAAGCTGCAGACTTCTGGACATAAGAGTTCAAATCACATGCCATAAGAAAATCAGTCACCTTGTAACATGGGAGAGAGAGAAAAAACAAGTGGTCTCTATAGTCATTTCAATGCTGAGTGACCTTGGGCTTTAGCGGATTGCTCTTTTACCACTGTTTTAAGATTAAACATGATGATATCAGTAAAGATCAACCTGTTGCACAGTAAGATTCAATAACTGGAAGACAGTTGTTGTTAAGTGCCATCGAACCAATTCTGACTCATAGCAACCCTGTGTAGGGTTTCCAAGGGTTTGAACCATCAACCTTATAGTAAGCAGTCCAGTGCTTATCCTACAGCACCATATCAGGACTCCTGGGAGACAGTAGTAGAATTAGTATTTCATCAGGGCTGGTAGGCAGAGGGACCCTATAGCTACAGTCCCAGGATCATGGCATCCCAGGGTACTCACCCGGATGCCCCGGCTGTAGGTGATAAGCTTGAGGATGCGCAGGGACTGCATGCCATTAGCAATGTTGAGGTAGGGATAATGCTTGCCCTTAATCTTCTGGAGGGCATAGGGGATTATGATAATGATGATGATAACCACATCCAGCAGGTTGTAGCCATCCTTCCAGTAGTCAATGGGGTTCACATAGAGCTTCAGGATGAGTTCAAGGCTGTAGATGGACACAAAGAGAACCTCCGAGATCTGCAGGGGTAGCAAAGATGGGAGGGGTCAAGTCAAGCTGTAGGGCCTTGAAGTCTCACCCCTCTCCCTGTCTGGAACCCAATTGGGCAGTGTGCTTCTAAGCTACCCAGATGAGTGAGAGGCAAAGTCCCTGGCACACAATGGACACTCAGTTTGCTAACTGCCTTCCCCTTCTATGTTTTCCCTACCCTAAGGCCCTAAGCCTGAGGATAGGTTTGATCCTAGGTACTTGGGAAGGACTGATTGATTGACAGAGAAAGTATATTGACTTCAATATAAGGTAATTCACATGTCAGGCAACCTCAATAGAAGGTTTTTCAAACAAGATATCAAGAGCTTCCTAGAAAACCTGAGTGTACAAACTTATAAAATATAGATGAAATACTCAAATATCTATTTATATTTAATCATAAATTTAGTTGATCATATGTGCTTAAAATCAGTTAACTATAGCAATGTGTTTCTAAAGAAATCATATTTTTTTCACTTTCATATATTTTTTAATGTTTTATTGTGAATTACGTGATAGTTTACATTAGTTTTACATTCATCCTATCATATATCGTTTCATTGCCATGGTTACAATCCCCTCCATGCATCATCACCCAACCAAAGGGTATACACTACAAGCCTGCCCCCCAGTCATCAGCACACAGGACTCTCCCTCTCTGGGTCTAAAGTCCTCAGATGCTCATCTCTCCATGTCATCGTCTCTGCATCCATCTCAGGCATCATTGCTTCTCTGGGTAGGGTTCCGCTCTCCACTCTTCTCCCTTGATGGTCCCAGGGACCTCTGCTCCTAGGCTGAAAAGTTAATCATTCCCCTCCTTGCTACAAAACGTCTACCTTTACATTTCCAACCCTCACAATCAGCCCTGATAACAATTATTCTGTATTGTATCACAAGAGACCCGTCCGCATTTCATTTCATTAGCCCTGCCTAGACAGATTGAATACTACTCAGTGGATATTCTACCTTCCTCCATGCCCTCTGGATCTAGATTCCCTCTTCAAAGCTTGTAAGCCAGTCACTTCTTGCCTTTGTAGCCCCCCATTTTGCATAGCCAATGTCCCAGTTGCCCATCCCTGTCTACTCTGTATATGGAGGGGGTGGGAATGATCTTTGCTGTAAAGATTTGCTCTCTCTTTTGAGCTACTGCATCCATAGGTGTAGGTCATCACTTTCATATTTTATGAAACCGTTTTCTTCTTGTGAATCTACAATTCCAATAACTTTGTTTCTACCTGCAGGTACTATTTTAGTCATCTAAGTGTTTCCTTATCATCTAAATTGACTTCCACCTAAATTGACTTACCATCTGGTTATTGCTGTTGTTGGGGTCCATCAAGTTGGTTCTGACTCATAACAACCATATTGAAAACAAAACAAAACACTGCCTGGTCCTGCACCATCCTCACAATCATTGTTAAGCTTGAGTCATTGCTGCTGCCACTCTGCCAGTCCTTCTTGTTGAGGGTCTTCCTATTTTTCGCTGACCCTCCACTTCAGTAAGCATGATGTTCTTCTCCAGGCACTGGACCCCCCTGATAGTATGTCTGATACATGAGAAACTAAGTCTTGCCATCCTGGCTTCTAAGGAGCATTCTGGCTGTAGTTCTTCTAACACAGATTTGTTTGCTCTACTAGCAGTCCTTGGGACTTTAATAGTTTATTCTAATACCATAAGTCAAATGCATTAATTCTTCTATGGTATTCCTTATTCATTGTCCAACTTTCACATGCATATGAAGCTACTGAAAATATGTTTAAACAGACTTGGGTCAGGTGCACTATAGTCCTCAAATTATTACCTAATGCAATACATCACTTGATTTCTTGACTGCTGCTTCCATGAGTGTTGATAGTGGATCCAAGTAAAATGAAGTCTTTGACATTTTCTAGATTTATCACAATGTTATTTACTGGTCCAGTGGTGAAGATTTTTGGTTTTCTTTACATTGAGGTACAACCCATACTGAAGGCTGTAGTCCTTGATCTTTATCAGTAAGTATCTTAAGTCCTCTGTCTTTCAGCAAGTAAGATTGTATCATCTTCAGGGTGTGCATCAGTGTTGTATTCTTTCACCATACTTATTTAATATGTACACTAAGCAAATAATCTGAGAAGATGGATTATATGAAAAAGAACGTGGCATCAGAACTGGAGGAAGACTCATTAACTGGAGACACACACTCACTCTGGCACACACCTTTCCTGATTTTAAGCCATTCACTGTCCTCTTGTTCTGTTTGAATGACTGCCTCTTAGTCAATGTACAGGTTCCTCATGAGCACAATCCAGTGTTCCGGATTACTCATTCTAGGCAATATTTTCCATAACTTGCCATGATCAACACAGTCAAAAGCCTTTAAATAGTTTAAAAAAAAAAAAAAAAAAAAGCACAGGTATTCTCTGCTTTCAGCCAAGACCCATGCAATGTAAGCAATTATATCCCTTGTTCCACGTCTTTGTCTGATTCTAGTTAAATCTCTGTCAGTTCCTTGTCAATGTACTGTTGTAGCCATTTTTAAATTATCTTTAGCAAAATTTTACTTGCATGTAATATCAATGATATTATCCAACGATTTCCAAATTCCATTAGATCACCTCTCTTGGGAATGGGCACAAATATGAATCTCTTTCAGTCAGGTGGCCAGGTAGCTGTCTTCCAAATTTCTTGGCATAGATTATCCAGCCTCCAGTGCTAATCAGTTTGTTCTAAGATTTCAATTTGTACTCCATCAATTCCCAAAGACTTGTTCTTTGCTAATGCCTTCAGTGAACCTTGGACTTCTTCCTTCAGTACCACTGGCTCTTGATCATATGCTATATCTTGAACTGGTTGGATATCAACCATTTCTTTCTGGCATAGTGACTCTGTGTATTCCTTCTACCTTCTTTTGATGCTTTCTGTATCATTCAATATTTTGGTCCTTTGTTCGTTGTTAAATGCCATCGAGTGGGTTACAACCCATAGCAACCCTGGATAGTGTTTCCGAGGAGCAACTGGTGAGCTTAAACTGCCGACCTTGTGGTTCAAACAACTTTGCAGTCCAGCACATTAACCTATAATACTGCACCAGGACTCCAACCATTTTGCTCCAGCTGTTGTTGTTGTTATGTGCCGTGGAGTCGATTCCAACTCATAGTGACCCTGTATGGGAGCAGAAAGCCTCATCTTCTCCCATGGAACAGCTGGTGGTTTTGAACTGCTGACCATGAGATTAGCAGTCCAATTTGTAACTACTATGCTACCAGAGCTCCTAGAGTCCTTCAATATTGTAAATCAAGGCTTGAATTTTTCCATCAGTTTTTCAGCTTGAGAAATGCTGACTGTGTTCTTCCCTTTTAGTTTTCTAACTCCAGGTTTTGGCACATTTCATTATAATACATGACTTTTTCTTCTCCAGTTGCCCTTTGAAATTTTCTGTCTGGCTCTTTTACTTCTTTATTTCTTTCATTTGCTTTAGCATCTCTATGCTGGGGAGTAAGTTTCTGAGTCTTTTCTGACATCCATTTTAGTCTCTTCCTTCTTGTCGTATATGATTTTCTTCTGGTCTTCAGTTATTAATGTCTAATGTATCATGTCTGTTCATGAGATGATGTCTAGTTCAGGTGGGCTATGTTCAAGCTCAAATTTTGGCTCTCATGAACTTGTTTTAATTTTCTTCAGCTTCAGCCTGAACTTGCATGTGAGCAATTGTATGTCTGTTCCATAGTCTAATCCTGGCTGATGTAGTTAATTTGATTTCTGTGTATTCCATCTGATGAGGTCCATGTGCATATGTTGTCCATCTTTTATGTTGTTTTTAAAAGGTATTTGCAACTGAATAGGTCACTGGCCTTGCATAATTCTATCATGCTATCTCCAGCTTGTTTCTATTACCAAGGCCATGTTGTTGTTGTCAGGTGCCATCGAGTTGGAACTGACTCATAGCGACCCTATGCACAGCAGAACAAAACAATGTCCGATCCTGGGCCAACCTCACTACTGCCACCACACTTGACGCCATCAATGATGCCACTTGACTAATCCATCTCGTTGGGGGTCTTCCTCTTTTTCTCTGACCCTCCACCTTACCCAGCATGACATCCTTCTCCAGCGACTGTTCTCTCCGGACAATGTG